GTTCAATAAGATAGATCAAGTAAAATAGCCTCATTGAGCCTAAAAAACAAAACAACAATACAGAGCACAAACACCATCTTTCTCCCCTCTTTTTAAAAAAAAAACTTCAATAACTTCACAGAGTACTATCATTAAACCTACCACTGCATCATCCAATACTTATATAAACCATCTAACAGCCTTTGTTGCTCCCTTTTCTTTAAACATAATACATACTATATGTGAATGTATTACAATGTGCATTCCCTTCTGGTTTAAGAGCATGCTACGACACCATACACACTTCATTCAGTGTAAAAAAAAAAAAGATCACTTTGGAGATTAAAAATTCGGAGCTTAAAAGCAAGGCAATTCTTAGTCTCTAGAGTCTAAGTACAGACAGACCAATAACTAAAGTACCATTTAATTTAAAAACACAACTCTAATGCACTCTAATGAAATAATCAAAAACAGAAAATAACAAAACAGAATAAATTTATTGTTTTAATGCATAAACGGAAATGTAATTACTGAGTTAATTTATCTCTGGATGAACACAAAGTAAACTTCCGTAGTTATACCAGTTTTGCACTTTTAACACCCCCTGAAATTTTTTTAACCTCTCAAATGAACTGATAATACAAACAACAGCCTAAAAGATGGCGCAATGACATGAAAATTCACAATCTTGTTTTAAAAAATTGCACTAAAAAGGAAATAGAGAAAACATTGTCTTCATTATGATACTTGAATTCTTATTTGCCTAAATAGAGGAACTATGAAACAGAAACAGTCATGTGCAACTTTTCATTTGAATCTTTATCAATGGCTTAGACTATGCCTTTAATTTATTTTCACAAAAATCCCTTCGTAACTTTTCAAATTATCCCATACACAAATAGACAAACAAACACACACAAACTTGACTAAAAACAAGGCCTCCTTGGCAGAGGTAATTGCTTTACAGGTTTAGCAAACAGCAGCGATTATTGCTCCCATAAAATTGAAGTTCTATTAATTGTGTCACAGAAGCTTGTTAACACGGATGTCTCTTTGGTATAAAGTTTCAGAATCTTATTTATTTTGAATGATTTTAAACCTTCTAAAGTAGAATTCATTTGTTTTTAAGAGAATTTGAGGATGTCCATTTATTGCCTCATAATTATGGGGAAAATACTTTAACACATTGGCTCTGAATACTGAATCAATTATTTTGATACCAAAAAAATACTAGTAATATAATTGGTTGAGATGGTAGTTATTATTCTCAACACAAAATCTATTAACCTAAAGCAAGGGAAGGGGTCATAATAAGATGATCAGACTAAAAGTAGGTTTGCATAATGTTGGAATTTCCATTTTACCTATATATGCTAATGATTTCAAACTCAATCTGGCTGCCAAAGATCTGACAAAGATAGATGCATAGATTTTTTTGTACACTCCATCTCCATCAAACCCCTCCCTGTATTTGGATATACATTGCTACCATTAATGTAATGCACCAGTGGTAGGCCTATATTAGAAACAGAGAGCGTTAAAGCTACAGCTACAATCTGCAAGACAAATAACCTCAGAGTGATCCAAAGAAAATATGTTTTTGAAATGGCATTCTTGCTATATTGAAAATAATTTACAAACAGATCATTTTAAAGCCTTATTGTGCTTCAGCTATATATATATATATATATATATATATATATATATATATATATATATATATATATATATATATATATATATATATATATATATATATATATATATATATATCATGCAGCCGTAAATAAAAAAAGAGTAAGTGAAAAGGCTGTGGAAAAGCAATCTGGCAGTCTTATAAAGCACAACTGCAAGAAGTCATATGATAAAAATAATGTTTCAATATGGGTTTCATTTCAAATATTTTTGACAGATTAATAACTCTCTCCAGACCAGAGATTTTCTTAAAGCAAAATAGAAAAAAACAAACTGAAGCGCTAGACATGTTTTGTTCAGTCAGGGATTTAACTTCTTTTGGTTAGACTTTAGAGTGTCTTTTAGGATTACTGCCATCTCTAGTGAAGATGTGTACATAAGCTTTGAAATAAACTGTTGTTATGGAGACTTTGTGCATTTCTCTAAGAATGAGCTTTAAAGATTCACTTCCTTTACCAGCCTAACCATTTTGCTGATTGGGCAAAGTAACAAGTCGGAGTCTGATTCTTGTCAAGTCTTGTTTGTCATAGTTTCAGCTGTTATCTAATTATTATTTAATACCTGTCAAATTAGATTTATATGGTTGATTTTATTACTTATCAAACAATCTTCCAAGAATATCAGACAGCTTGTTATTATAAAGTTTTCATTTTAATCCATAATTACAAACATTTTACACTGCATTTTAGCACAGTAAGTTTGGTATTGTTCTGTAAAAGTTGTTTACACGAACCAAACAGTCCCTATTGTAAATTAGAAACTGTGCATTTAGTAAACCTAGCTGCACAAATAAAGGTTTAATAATAATCCATTGTACTATAAATGAGAAAATGAAGAGGACTGGTTATTTTCTTGGAGTTATTTCCTCCTTTATGGAGATCTACTAACATGTTTATGTGCTAAAAGATTTTGGCTTGTTTGTCACATGGTCAAAACATCCCATTTTTCTATCTGATTCTATATCGGTTAAATAATATGGATATTTCATTTTATGCTTTCTACATGTTTAGTTAAACAAATAACCAGGCAAACTACCAACAAATGCTTCAGTCATTGCAGTTGCAGCAACCCCCCTGTCCGGCACTCTTTCACAACTATAATCATCCAGGCAAGTACAGTAGACACAGATAACCCGTCCTTCCCGCAGAAAAGGCACTGCTTCTGTCATCTTTATAATGTCTTAATTATCATCATCTGAGGCTGCAATGGGGGAGAGTGAGACAGAAAGAGGAAAAGGCCTGGAGAGAAATGAGAAAGCTGGCAGCACCCTGTAGATGCTTGATGAATGAGGGTGTCAGCTGTATTCACCCAACTAGCAGCCTCATCTCCGAGAGTGTCAGGCCCCATGCACTGAGACCTGTCTTATTAACTACTTTGATCAGGCAGTAACAAGGAAGCCAGAGAGAGTGGGCCAATACATCTTTATTATAAGAAGGTGGAACAGCAGTTCATTAAATGTAGCTTTATGTCCCACCACTGATCAGCAGGAGGCAGAACATTGCATTCTGAATTGGGGCCTGGGTTTGTGTAACTGTTTTTTTATACATGAGTTTATTCTAACCAATTATTGGGTCTCTTGTTATCAAAGAAATAGAAAAAAGAATTCTTTAGGCATCCCTCGTTCTTCATGTCTGTATTGTTCAGGTCTAAGTAATGCATAATACAGAACTGACATTTTACACGCTGCTCTTATGGAGCCAAACCCTGTACTGGTTTCTAGTGTCACGAGCAGTACAGCCTAAACAAAAAAAAACAAAAAACAATTTTCTGTAAAATGATGAAAAATCTACTATGATCTTGCCAGACCCATGCATCGTTAAATAAATACTATAATGTTTTTCTGCTTGCCTGAAATACATGCAGCATTTTTCCAAGACTTATTTGCATCTATACTGACTTTCAACATTCCTTTATCTTATGGCTGATAGATGTCCGGGATTAAATTAAGGCTGCAATTCAGCTTAAGTGTTTTCCTTATAGTAGACATGGGGTGGTTATCAAGAAAGAATTCCTGAAACTTTCAATTTTCAGTCTAAAGATAGTGCAGCACTGATCCTCCTCATCTGTTCCTGGGAAATAATAGACAGCTGGCTAAAAGGTTGTTACCCTCATTTGTAATCATGTGAGACAGTTTCAGCTGTTTGCAAATATGTCAAGTCTGGAAAACCATTGGTGGTGTGGAGATTACTAAACTCACAAGCATGATTTTATAAAAATGTATGTGTGGTATAGCAGAATGAACATTCTGCTTAAATACCATAAAACTGATGGTTTTACTCAAGGTTATTTATTAGTCTGACAATAGCTATTACAAACATCAATATTCAGGGATTCATTAGAACTTGCTATCTGACAACGTTTTTACAGTATTACTGAAAAACAACAATTCAAGTGTTTTTGGCATTAACTTAATCATATTTAGTTACTTTAACACAGTTGTTTCCTGTTAGCAGGGTTGCAAAAGCATTTGCATAATTTTTTTCACTGGGATTCATCCCAGTTCCCCCAAAATATACTAAAATGCAAGTAAGCTTTATTTGCAGGTTTCAAAGTTGGAGACCTGAAAACATTTTACCTCCATACATCCATGCTACATCTTTTTTCTTTTTTTTCCAAATAAACTTTTCAGATCAAATCAATCAAATCCCTCAACTTAGAAAAAATTAAATTTGCTTAAATTTATGACGTCATTTCAAAATAACAATATGAACTAACTTGGCTGCACCATCATCAAAGCTTCTGTACAAAGATAGTCGCTTAAAGTTATTTCACAGAGAAAAAAGAATAGAAGTAACCAGAGTTTTCTGAAACTACCTCATGCATAACTCACCCCTATTCCTGTGCAATGCACTTAAAAGCTGACTGAAATAAGATTTCTACAACTTTTAACTTGAGTTTTAAATTTCGAAATTGATGTCCCAGTTGGAAAATACTTTCAGTCATTATTTGAAAACTACAGAGATGCAGGTGATATAAAACCCAGATATTAAGATACAATCATAGGAGTCTAACCATTAGTATATATTGATTTGACTAATCAGAGAATATTTTTGGAAATACTAAATATAATTAATTCATTTTGCAGATGTTTGTATAGTTTGAGAAACAGCCATAAAAAGTATCTTCTTGATGTAACATTTATACATTAAATTAATCTAATGCAAGAGTTCATCTGCTCTCCAACACTCACTGTTATGTTTCCAAACGCACCATCAAAAGCTTCAGGCTGGCAGCGTTTGCACAGCTCCAATCAATTGATTATCCTGTCTGTGTCCCTCTCTGCATGCTTCCAGGAGAATAAAGCAGAGGAAAGAAACGCATCCTACCTCCAGCCGCTGTGACAGTCCTGGGAATCGATTTGAAAAAGAGGAAGAAGCTCTGCGTGGAGATCACAGTTCATCGAGTGAGAAGTTTCAACGAAGCAGTGACTGAGGGATCCCTGTAGCAGCGGGTGAGGAGACACTGTGGAGATTATTATTATTATTATGACTACACCCCCAAACAAAACTGATCCTTCCGCCGTCGGACTGTCAACGCTTCCCTAGGATGTTGCTGCTCTCCAACTCAGCTGTGCGCAACGGCGCGCGCGCACACCCACGGTCCCCAAACCCAACGTTCCCTGGAGGACACGTGACCAACCCACAGGGGGACAGGAATAGCTTGCATTCCCCTCCAAGGCAGCAGCTGGGATCGGTTTCAGCGCTGCTCCTGTGGCCGCGCTGCAAACCCGAGCTGTGCCTAGCCATGCTCCCTCTCCACCTACCGCCTCCATCCGCCCTCTCACCTCCGTGGTCTCATGTTGACTCTGACTTGGTCTTTTGTTCCCTTTCAAAATGTTTAGGTTCTGTACTGGAAACTATGCAGCTAAATTGGTCAAATTGCTGACAGCCTCAGATTTCTTGTTGGTATTTTATATATATATATAAAAAAGCCCTTCTAAAATTATATTAACAACTGCTTATGATTGGTTTTATGCTGTTTAATTCCATATTAGTTCAGATTTTAATTTCAGCAACACAGTTTGTCAACACACAATTCAACTGACAGAAAATGTTTGGATATGAATAATGCTTGCCTTCACTATAGGTAGCAACAAGGCAATAATTTCTTGTTGGTATGTTTTGTTCTAAATAGGCTGTAAATGTTTATCTAATTCTTTTTTTTTTAAATCAGTGTATTTCTCTTAAACTAATATAAAATAAATCAAACAAAAATAAATTAGTGGAAATAGGCACAAAATTTGTTGGCAGTTATAAGAAGTTTGATTTTTGTAAGGCTGGTAAAGATTTCATCAATGAAATCCAATTCCAGAATGATATTAACAATTTTTAATTGGGTTTTGCATTCTTTCTCTTTAGCATCTTTTGGCCGCCTTGTTCTATCTTTTTATTTTTAAGTTCAGTGCAGATAGGTAAAAAAAAAACGAATTTCAAATACGATATGAGAGCATTGTAAGCAGACTAGGTCTTCTTTAAAAGAGTAAATTAAAGCATGTATAACTCAATTAGTGTTTAAAACTACATTCAGAGTTCAGAATGATGTTACATTGCATCTTTTCCACATCATATATTTCAAGAATGTGTTGATACCGATTTCTGATTCAAAAGCCTTTTATTGCAACAGGTTTATTTTATTATATACATTATGTTTTATACTTATTTCTCAAATATTCTCTACAAGTTTTTTTTCTGTAAAGTACCTTTCTCAAGACAAGTGTATCAAATCACTCAGAAGAGATGGGTTAAAAGTTTTGCTTTAAAGTAAACCTAACTGATTACATAAAGTCATTAACCTTACAGGATTTCCTCCTTCAGGATCAGCAGTAGACAGTTGCTTGCACTGTGTCACTGACTCTGCAGCAATCCCTCACACCGAGCATGCAGCGACAGCAGCTTTCAACTGATGGAAACCTACAGCAGAACCAAGCTTGGTGTCTGTGTCTTCTGTTGAGGTCATTTTAGGATTCAAGGAGACAGAAACAGACACACAAAAGGAATAAATACTTACTATGTTAATTAAGGTAACAGTACACTTGCTCTATAGGTGGCTCTGACCCATATGAGCTCTTGAAGAGAAACAGGACTGAGGACCAAAAATAGGCCCAATTCTATAATCTACTCTGTAAAGGAAGTTGCTATTTCCTCCCACCAGTTTGATATTACAGCTATACAGACCACCAGACCAGTTTAAGCTACTATGCTGAGAAAGCTGTTAGAATAAAGCAGACTGATGAAAGATTGTCGCTATGTTCTCCGGTTGGTTAGCCATCCATCTTTTATCTATCTGCATCTGTAAGTCCCACAGGATCTTCCTTTGGTCATTCTCAGCCACCGGTGGGGGCACATCCATTTTTGAAGTTAGTACATCCAGCTTTGCTAAGATGCTGCCGGCCACCTAGTTATGGCATTCCAAGTGTCCACTGCCTGCTAGCATCTTGGTAACAAAGAGAGGAAAGGAAGTCAGAGGTGAGAGGCTTGAACTTAGAGAAAGGAACCATCACAGTAATTGAGAACTGCTACAAGTGTCTTGGAAACCCACAAGCAAACGAGAAATATGAAGAGAGTACTAGGAAAGCTACAAACAGAGTATTTCCCAAGAGTAAGGCAGGTGCTGAGGAATCAGATGAATGGCAAGAACAAGATCTGGGATACAACACTTATGCCCTAAAAGTCATCAGATACCCTGCTGACCAAAGGAGAAGATAAAAAGCACTGGCATCAGGAAGTACCTACATATACAAATATATATATATATATATATATATATATATATATATATATATATATATATATATATATATATATATATATATATATATATATATATATATATATATATATATATATATATATATATATGTGTATATGCAATTTTCAAGAATTTGATGTGAGTAGCTACTTGTTCTTGGCCTGCAGGATAGAGAATGTTGGTGTTTTTATCTGTACAAGAAACAAAGATTTATCTGCTAAATTGCTGCTTTCAAACAGCTTTTAAATGCTAATGAAGTCGATGTCTAATTGTAGCAGTGACACACTGATTGTTGCCAACTTAATTAGTTCCTCTGTGACAAGTTGTCTGCTAAGTAAAGATGAGGAGGACAGCTTAATGCTGAGGGGGGAGCTCATAGGTGGTCTTTGTGTCTCTCGCTCAGATCCGCCCAGCCCCCTTCAATCCCCAGTGCCCTTCACCATTTTACCCCACCACAGATCATTATTGATTGGATTCTGACAAATGTGCCACATTCGTTGTGTATTACCCATCATGAATTTCCAGTCGATCCGACTTAGGGATTGATCTCCATTTGGAGTGTCGATGGTGATCCTGTAATGAGACTGGGAATTTCAGTGGAGTGGCAGACATTATTTAGAAGAGCTCAGAATTTGTCCTTCCAGCTAGATTAAAAAAATAAGCCTAAAGTAAAGTATGAAGTAGTGGAGCAGCTGGTGGGGGCAGGAGGCGCACTGTGAATGCTTCCACCTTCCTCTGTATGCAGGTGTTAAAGTGGAACTCCAGGGTTCAGCCTGTCCACAGGACTGAATACCAAAACTGAAGGTGCATCTTTCTGCGGGTGTGAAAGGACTGCTAAATAGTTTGCTCCTATGGGGACATGCCACTGCTAGTTTTGCAGATTTCATGCCAAGATATATAATATCTTATTAAGAAACTATTAGAGATCAACAGAAGATCAGCACTGCCCTTTTTTGTCATCAGTGTTACACAAATGCTGGAACTTTCTTATTACCCCCACAACCCATTTCAGTGTGTCTCGAAAAATCTATATTTGGACAACAAGAATGCCCTTTGCTCTATATTACAGAAAATATTGGAAATCCGTTCTGTATTAATACAGAAAAGCTAAAGTTGAACCTAAGTAGTACATAAGTAGTTTTGAGGATTTGGACAAATACATCAGGAAAACTCAGCACAAGGGACAGAGTCTGCTATCATCAAACTACATATGATAACATATCATAATACTTGGTCTTTATTGTTTTATATGTTGTCTAAACTAAGTGATACAATTGATTTATTAGATTTTATCCCTGAGTTCCCCATCTGTCTATTCTTTTTCAGATTGTGTCCTTAAGCATAGAAACCTAAAAATATAAATGTAAATGATTCTATTTCAGTATATCTTTATTTATTTTTACCAACTTCCTAATAAGAATACTAGAGTCAGAGCTGCTTCTTGTCTCCATACTCACATACCTTTATAGAGACTCTGTTTCTATCATTAAAAGTTGAGCTTTAAAGGCTTCTGTAAAATTGTGCACCTTAACCTTTACGTTGCAACTAAAACTATAATAAAAAGGTGCAAAATGTTGCTAAAGAGCTTTTACCTTGACAAGTTGATCTGGTAGGGCTGCCCTCGTGATTTACATCTACTAATGAAACGTATGGGATATAGCCTCATTTGAATTAAACTTAGATCATAACTTATACTGAAACCTTGGACATCAATAAAAAAAGAAAAACATTTGCAACAATGTGCAGATAAGTTTCCAAATCTATTATATCTTACAAGCCTCCTTAATTTGCATAGAGATTAAGCTAAACATATTGTTAATCATTACAGGGTTTATAAATGTTTAATGGATGAAGGGTAACTTGAGGATGGAGGGAAAGTAATAATTGATGAAGCTGGGTGCAGATGGGACAGTGTGGGATACTTAATTAAATTTTGGCACAGGCAAATGACCCATTTCTGTAGTTGCAGAGGGAAAACTCAAGTTTTAAGCCTCAAGAATGTTTCACTCCAACAATGCTCAAACAAAGCTCAGTCCAGTCTAACAAAATAGTTATTCTTTATTTATTTAGACTCACATTTTATGGTATTTATACTTGCATTTTTCAAATAGCACTCTATGTTTTCCAGCTAAAGCAACAGTAGTATGAACAATAGGTTGTAGAAACCCAAACTGCAGCCCTTCACAGATTGTGTAACTCTGTCTCTAACTAATCTCTGATCTCCAGCTGTACAGAAGCATTTTAGCAAGTTTTTGAACTTGGAATTTAAAGTCTGAAATTCCTTATGTTGAGCAGCTCATGGGATTTGGCTGCTGTTTGTCTGGCTGTCTGTTGTGTCTAAGGATCAACGCTAATGTAGAGTCGCTGCCATGCAGCTGCCGTTTTCCAGCCCCACATTCAGACTCTGAGCGAGAAACGTGTAAAGCCTTAAAGATGGACAAATGCCAAAAAACAAAGAAACTAAATTTTAAGGTAGTGTTTGAAGTCACAGCTGGTTTTTTGGGGAAGTTCCTTAAATATACTATATGCTAACTAAAAAATATGTGACAGACCAAAGAGAAGCTATTAACAAATCCACCTGGGGCTGTTTTGAGTTTTTTATTTTACAGATCCTAAAAGTAGATTTTCAGCTTTCTAATGATGTTAGATTTGTGCAAATAAAAAAATAATTAAAGAATATTTGACCATTTGAATGTTGGCACAGAACATTAAGGGGAAAAAAATGATTCACATTCACTATGGTAGCCAGTTGGGTGGTAATGAAAGCTATTAATTTAAATATCTTTGCACACCTCCCCAACACCTCCCACAGCAATGATTGACAACAGAGGCTATAAAGACAGTTGTCTGGGACGTCGAAAGGAATTTTTCAAATTAGGCATTTTATACACATTTAAACTAATTTTACAAGAGTGTTGC